AGGGGACAGGGGGGAGGGGACACTCACTCACCGGTGATGCGGCAGCCGTAGAGCTCCAGCCTCAGGGCGATGCCGTTGTGCCAGCTCTGGGGACGGATGCGCACGAACCGCGTGAGCAGCGGGCTGTGGATCTTGTTGAGAACCACCTCCGTGGCGTCCTCGTTGGCCTGAAACGTCTGCCAAGGAAGAGGGGACACAGATAGGGTTATGTCCTCTTCAGGGAGAAGGAAGTAACCAGATCGACAGTCAAAATAATCCCAGCAGGGAAGACCGAGAGGAGACTTTCCAGGCAGGGCCAGCCTCTGGTCAGGGGCAGGCAGGGAGAGCTGAGCTGCAGGAGACCCAGGAGCTTGCTGCCCCACTGCCTTTCATGGCCCCTCAAGACACCATGGACTATCAGGCCACAGCTGCTTTGAGCTCTCCCCCAAACCCTGAGTGGCTCGACTGCAAAAGGCCACGTGTCCCTGAGTGCTGTGTGAGATCCTGCCTCCCCTCCCTGGGTAAATGGGTTGACATCCTGAGGTGTCCTCGCACCCAGCTTCACTGAGGAACATGATGTGCAAGCAGCACTGGGAGCAGGGAGGATTCTGCCTCTGGCTGGGGCAGCAAGCTGCCCTCCCAGGCAGTCCCTCACCCCTGCCTCTGCTGCATGCATGCATGCAGCCCACCACACAGACAGCTTTCCAGGAGAGTTTATGATCCAACATGATAAGAAAAAGCTCCTGCCTTACCAGATGGCCATAATCAATAACTACCAGATGGATGCTAGATCCACCCCCCCTGCCCATTATTTTAATAGGCTAGACAAGGACTGGATACTTGTGATTGTGCTTCAAGTTGCAGAGCCATAGCAGGAAAGGGGGGTAAGGAGGGAACACCCAACCTGAGGGTAACTCCCAACCCTTCCTCTGCTCCCAGCATGAAGCACTGAAGCTCACAGGCCAAGGCTGCAGGCACTGCCTCTTCCCCCCAAGCATGCAGGCTCTCAGGACAGGACTAGAGCATCTGCACTGAGATGCTGGACAGGCTTTTCTGGAGGCTTCTTCTCCCCTGCCCATGCTGTGCCAAGCACAGGAGCTTCCTCGAAGTTTATCTCGGAGCAAAGCAGGAGAGTGTCATCTCTGGCACCAATCCTCCATTGGAGGCAAGAGTCAAACAACTCAGCTGTGGATTCCTAGGTTCTGGGACAGAAAAAGGGGGTGAAGCTGTACCCTGGCCTCTCATCTTGAGTAGTGGTTAAGAAGCAGCAGCATTTATAAGCCTCCCACTGCTCCTGGCCCGCAGACAGCACACAGTACTGCTCTTCTCCCAGGAGCCAGCACACCAGGGTGTGCAGAGGGTGTTTTCAGAGAGGGGCAGAGGCTCTTCACAGCACCACACCCAGCTCTGGGCAGTGCCTGCACTTCAGTGTCCTGCCAGGGCAGAGAGCAGCCACCCCACAAAGGGCCTACGTTGCAAATCTGGCTTGTAATTGGGATTTGGGGATGATGTGAACTTGAGCAGAAATGCTCATCTGAAGAATATGTACCATGCTGCTACCATTTAGCAACACAGCATGGCTTATAGGTTTTTAATATCTTATTTTATACTGTCTGACCATACTTCCCATCCTTCTCCTGGCTCAGCAGCCATCAATTACCCTTTTTTCCAGCAGGAGGGCTATAAGAAGAGTGGTTACTGTGAAACACTCTCCAGGCATGCGTGTGTGTGTGTGTATCCTGTAAACCTGTGAGAACACACACACACAGAGGGGCTGAAAGGATCCATTTCCACACTGCAGCAAAGCCTCCAGCTTTATGTCAACACAGAGGCTGACACACAACACCTTACCTCTGAACCTAACACCGGAGAACAGGAAATGTTTAGCTGAGCCTGTGCAACTATTTTAGCACGAGGAGCAGCATGTCAGGTCAGCCCAAAGGTCCCTCTGTCCCAAGGGGCAGCTCCTGATGGTGGCCCCAGCAGATGCCCAGGGGGCAGCAAGCCCCAATGGAATCTTCTGGCAATTTCTCTTTGCTTCCCATCATCAGCAGTTTGAAGACTCCACGAGCCAAAGGTTGCATATGGACCAGCATGTTTAACAGTCACTGACGAGGTTTGCTGCTCTTTTTGGTTCAGCATATTTCCAGTTTTGTTCTTTTTTAGCTCACTTCACACATACGAGCACCAGGGGCCGGAATCCAAATTTACACCAGCGTAATTTGTGGCTGACTTCTGCAAAGTCAAACTCCACAGAGAGCAGAAGCAGGACTGAGCCCAAAAACTTTATCACTACCACATACATCGCTGAAAGCATCTTCTGTACCACCTTAGTCCCTGTCACTGCTTCCAAGGAGAGCGACCTCAATTCTGCTTTAGATTTGGGGACCAGTAATTTCCTCAGACTCGATCACATTCAACAAACTACCTAACTCTGAATGGGGACCTCAGGGGTTGGCTTCTGCCAGTTTAGGAGGGGCAGAAACAGCCCCTCACTTCCAGCCCTAGAATCAGCTGCACTGGTAGGATCAGCCCCAGTGAACCTTGCTTCTCAACAGCCAAAATGGATCCTAGTGAATCACTGCTCTGCACCTTGTTCAGCCCAGGAGCAACAGAGAGGGGCTGTTTTCAGAGGGCAGGTGCTTCGTGCTGATAGAGAAGCAGAGTCCTTCCACACACCTGGGCTTTCAGCCTCCTTCCTGATGCATCACAAGCCCACAGATCCTGCTGCTGCTGCCCAGGGACTGACCTGAGAGGACAGTTTCTCTGCCCTGAAAACCCTGACCCCAGAGGCCAAGCTCCCCGTGCAGAGAGCCCCCTGGACTCGAACAGGCTCTACATCCTGCCTTAAATTAGCACTCACAGCATGGGAAGAACTAGCAGGAAAACGTGTGAAATTGGGAGCGCCAAGAAAGCAAAGATTTCTTCCCTCTCACCAAAATAGAACGTTGCTATTCCTCCCATCCTAGCTGCTTCCCATCCCACTCAGCACATATTTTGAGCCAAGCCTTCGAATGGTGTAAATCAACACATCGCCATCGAAGCAGAAGAAGTCACAGCAATTTACACCAGTAGGGAAAAAAGAATGATTTTAAAAAAAAAATCTGGCTGTGATCTAAGGAGCCAGAGAGATCCACCCTCAGCAGAGAGCACACGTGCTGAAGGGTGATGGAGCCAGCAGACAAATGGGAAAACCATTAACAAATTAAAAGCACCTTCCAAGAAGCAGTCAAGGGAACTCATTTTTACTGCTCCATCAGACAGCTGCCCATCCCCTCCCCATACACTTTATATTTACTTCCATTTTAGTCCAGTCGGCAGGTCTACATGTAAAATTAAATTGATAATCAATGAGAGCTGACCTGCTTAATTAATTTGCTGCAGAAAGCAAGCGGTGAGAGATGATGTCTAGGCTGGAGGAGGACTGGGCAGGTTTTCCATGTGCACACACGTGTGAGCTCCACACCAGCCCTTAGAAGTTGTATTTCTGGCACTGCTGTGGGGTGACAGGGGGATTTTTGAAGCTGCATTAGTTCCAGTGGGTGTGGGAATTGTGCCAGTGGCAGTCTGGAATGAAGGGAGTGAAGGACAGGGAGACAAAAAGCACCGTGAAGTCAGAGAGGCAGCAAGTCAGGGAGGGGACAGGAGGTAACTTCTCTCCTGCTTTATTTATTGTGCTGCTGGGCCACTCTGTGATTTCTTGGGGAGCTAAAGAAAGCAGCTGGGGGAGGCAGAGGAGAAGGCCAAGGATGGCAGCAGCCCTGCTTATGTATGTGTCTCTCTGGACCTACTAGATTTACTGCAGGATTATGTTACTCCTGTGGAGACAGAGCCCTGGAACAGAGCATGCTAACAGGATTAGGGCTTCAGGATTTAGACAGAGAAGCATGAAGGAGAAAAGTAGGGGAGATTATTTTCCTTGTCATATAGGGAAGGCATAAAATGGGGCATGTTTGATGGTGGGAGGATTCTGGCTCGAGTGGAGGGCGGATAGTTCTGGATTTATTAAATCCAGGAACAAGGAGGAAAATAAAAATTAGGCTTGGTCACACTGCACGATGCACAGCCATGAGGCAGAGTGTGCAGGGCTGGGCTTGCCAGCACCGTGTCTTTGAGAGGCTCCACTCAGATCCAGGAGTCACCAGGGACAGGAGGAGTGGCACTCTGCTAGCCTGCAAAGGAGATATCAGGCCCAGAAGTACAAAGCTTTGCTAAGAAAGCCAGGGCTGTAATTCTCCCCTGGTACTGCACCAGGACTGCCTTTCCCAAAGCCTGATGTATTTGTCCTGCCTGCAAAGGCAGCAGGAGCAGCCTGGGACCTGGGGATGCTTCTGGGCAACCACTCTGTACCATGATGCCTCTGTGCAAAGGCACTTGTGGCCTTCTGGCTGATCACACAAGCTTTTCCTGAGTTTTCCAGGTACAGAATCCACAGTACTGAAAGCTTTTCTCTCCCTCTCCAGGTGAATGGACACAGGAGAGCTCATTAAGAAGTGGAAGGACAGAGGAATGCTTCTAAGGGAGCACACAAGGGGCTCCCAAGAGTCACCCTCAGTATGCCCCGCCAGCACCAAGCACCTCTGAGGTCCCCAGCTCCAAGCACAGCTGAGATATTTGGCCCTGCAGCAATCCAACCTGCCTTCTTGCATCCACCTGGACCACCACCCAGGAAGGTTAGCTGACAACAAGCACAAAGCCATCAAAATGAGTAGAAAATGGAAAACCCACATCAGCTGGATCTTGCTGCCGTTTCTCATCCATTGACTTCTCAGGTTCTCAAAGCAAATGTTTCAGCTCCCCTTTTACACACAGAGCAACAGAAGCAGTGAGAGCACCCATCACAGTCCCAACTCACCCTGAATGCTGAAATTCACCCCGTCCCCCAGTCCTTTGCCACACTAGGTGAGCCCCATGAGCTGGTCTCCACACTAAGATGGAGCAGCTCGCACCACCCAGGAGCTGGGACCCAAGACCCTACAGAGAGGGAGGGGGATCAGAATGGACAACCCCTTTTGTTTTCTGGTAAAACCCTTAGAGTTGAATCTATCCAAAGTAAATGGCCAAAAATAAAAGGTCAAATCCTGCCAGGTGCTCTTTTCCTTCCTCGGGTTCAAGTTGTTGTTTTCTACAGACATCTGCAAACTGCTAGATAAGATCTTCTGGAAGATAGCCTCTGGGGCCATCAACCCTGGATGACACAGAGGAGGGGGCAGCAGGGTGGGCAGGAGCCAGAGCAATCTTTCTGGGGCAGGGGTTGTTTGTCCCTGTCCCATGGGGACGTGCTGGTGGGTTGTAGGGGGTGTGTGAGGCAATGAAAGGTGGCAGCTGCTCTCCTCCCTGGCTCCACTCCTGGAGGACACGCAGGGACACAGCTCTGCGCCTCCAGCCAGGCCACTGGGTGATGTCTGGGGTGTGCTGGGCTGGCCCTCGTGGGGAGCAGGCTGCCAGGGGAAGCGGGGCAGGGATGGGGTGGGAAGGTGTGAGGGTGGCATTCTCCTGCCAGCTGCAGGGCTGCCACTGCCTCCCCACCCCAGCAAGGCAGCAGCGCTCGCACGGAAACGGCCCAGCCAGCCCCGGCTGCTGCCAGCAGGGACTCATCTGCTCTTCCTCTGCTTCATCCTGCCTTCCCCCCTCCCCGGCCAGGAGCACTGGGGACTCAAAGGTGACCTATCACATTTCCCAGGGAAGCATCCTGGCCCCGCTCTCCTCTGAAGCACTGGAGAGAGGGAGGGGAAGTGGGGGGGTGAAAGTGAGGAAGCCAGAGCCCCCCACTCTCTGCAGAGAGCATCCCCCCCTCCTGCACTTACAGGTTTTCTCTTGCTGTAGCTCTCTGAGGAAGATGTAGCTGTTACTGACCTGCCTAGAACATGGCAGAGCTCTGCTTTTGGCTCACACAGCCGGCAGAAATTCAGAGCAGTGTTTGATACATCCCATATGCCCATGTGTGCGTGTGCATATATATATGTGTGTGTGTATATATATATATGTGTGTGTGTATATATATCCACGTATATATCTGCATGTATATAGAGGGAGAGTGAGCCCCTGTCTGCACACGTCCTCCCCTCCCTCCCTGCTCCTCGTGGCACCAAACCAAGCTGCGGCAGACTCCATGAATCTCCTTGGCATGGCTCACTCCACGGCTGCAGCCTGACACAGGAGGAACCTGTGCCCTGGGAAGGGGCTCCCAGAGCTCACCTGAGGCAGGATGGGGCCCGTGGGGACCAGAGCCCTCCCCCTGGGTGAGTGGCACAGCTTGGTGGCTGCTGGCCCATCCCTTGACAGGGAGGCAGTGCAGTCACTTGGATGCAAGGGGTAGGCGAGCCACCAAAAAAGCAACGACTTATCCTCCAGCCCTGGGAGGTGTCTGCTAAATTGAGGCCAGAACATGGGAACAAAACAAAATGGGAATAAAAGAGTAAAAAAGGAAAGGTTTGATTCATCCTTTTTTCTATGAAGAGTGAAACCAGAGCAGCATAGGGCCAAATCCTGACTTGGTGGCAATCCATGGGGCTATTTGGAGTGCTTTAGGCTGGTACCAGCCAGGCTTCAGGGTCTGGCTGGAGTCAGGTAAGCTGGCCCAGCAGCACTGAAACCAGCCGTGCTGTCCTGCTCCACCCTGCCTGAGGAGCCAGTGTCCAAGCCCAGCACTGCAAGGATGGGGCATCTCTTCTCCTCTGCAACTAAAGCCACCCTCCAGGCCAGATATTCCACGCTAGTTAGACACCAAAAGGTGAATTTATTGCCAGTGGTTATTTGAATGACTCAACTGTGTATTTAGCCCTGTATTTCTCTGCCTGGTATGTTGCCAATCTCTACCCTGGCTCAGCTTGCAGAAATGGTCCCAGTGAGACCTCAGACTCACAGGGAGCCCAGGGTGAGGAGAGAATGTTCACAAAAAGATCTGCTGCAGCCAGGGGGTCCTGGGAGAGCACAGAGCCCACACACCACTGCATGGCAACTGCCTTAGGGTTATACATGAGCTCTGCCAGGAGCTGCAGCCCTGGAGCCAGCCTGCCTGAGCTCTAGGGGAGCCTGGCTGCTGACTCTACAACGGGGTGCTGGGGTGCCCTGTGCCTCCATTTCCCTACCTCTAAAATAGGACTAACACCACCTCACTGGCACGCGAGGAGCCGAAATACTCCAAATATTGGAGGTATGAGACCCTGCCAGGGGCCTCTGCACGGAGAAGACTCGTTCTGGGAAGCAGAGTGAATTTGAACCGTGAGACACGCTTGTGGGGAAGGGGAAATCACCCGGCCCGGAAGGGAAGGAAATGTCTGGATGAATCTTGGACGAGGCAGGCTACTGCATTTCATGCCAGTAGTGCCTGTGACAGCAAAGAGAGGGGACAGCTAATTTAACAGAAGTGCTGAGCAAGCTGAAATGGCCAGGACGTGCGTGCGGGGGGAGGCGAGTGGGACCCCAGCCCCCGAGATCACGCAGACAGATTATGGCACAGCACCAGGGAGGACCTCAGCTGCAGCAGCAGGGCTGGGGGGCGCCACAGGCGAGTGGGGAAGGGCTCTCCTGAGGTGTCCTTAACCAGGGGACAACCACGTGGCCAAGGGAAGTGACAGAGCAGGACCAGCCTGGCACCACGGCTGCCTTAACCTCCCTCCCGTGTGGGCCACTCCAGCCTTGCCTCACCTGGCCACGCAGCAGCACCCACAAGGCTTGGAAAGGCTGCACACCCATATTTCTGCTCCCTTCCCCTCTTCCCAACTCTGTATGCCTCCCAGAAGCACAGTTAGGGCATGCAACAGCTCCCAGGGTTCAACACACCCTTGCTGACCGTGCCTGCTAGCACAGATCCCACAGCTCTGGCAGCCTGAATTGCTCCTCATTATTTATTGTTCATTTTGTTCTCCGGGATAGTGTGATTCCCCCTCAGGATTTGTGCCCTTTCATTTCCAGGCCTCAGTAACTCCTGAACTACAGTTTCATGTGGTTTCGTGATTGTTAACCCAGCATGCAGACAGGGCTATGGCCATAAAAGCTCAATGAATCTTGTATGGTGAAACACAGGCTGTGAAAGCATTTTCTCCTTCATTTGAAGTCAAAGAACACACTCTCGCCACCACGAAAGATGCAACAGCAGCCAGGTTTTCCAAGGAACAGTGTCTCCTCATTGCTGAGCAGAGGACAAAGGACTATTTCTGCTCAGAGCATCACCAGCCTTTCAGCCTTCATCAGAAAAAGGGTCCCTCACAGATTCAACACTCTGGGCCTGTAAAATCTCTCTGTTCTCTTCCCACCTGTTGGCTCCAAGTCTGACCAAGAGGCATGGAAAAGAGATGAAAGGCCTTTACCTTGTGGTTTTTCCCGTGTCGGTACATCATCCAGTCCTCCCCGTTGGTGCTGACCTCCAGCTTGTAGGTACGGACGTAGTACCCATTCTGGGTTTCTCTGGAGATGGCACCCTGGGTGGCAATGGCTGTGAGAACAGTCAGGAAGTGGAGGTCCACCTTTCCAAGGGGAAAAAGGGACAAGAGAGAGAGTGGTGACCACTGGAGAGCCCAGGTTGGATAGTCAGTTCCTCCCTCTGTCTCTGAAAAAGGAGGTGCTGTGAATTCAGTCTGGCTCACTCCATCTGTGGGGGCACATTTCAACAGGCACAACCCCCCAGGCTGACTTCAGCAGGGTGCTTTCAGATAGGACCATGGCACAGGAGTAACTAAGGAGCTTGATGTCCATCCTCATGGGACCATCACAAAGCCTTCTTCCTGCCTCGGACCAAGCAACAGGGGCTGCACAGAAGCTCATGTCCATTAAAGCAGGGCAGAAGCTGATTTTTCCCATGTAAAATAAAAGCATGATGTCCAATTAGCAAGTGCTGCAGTTCTTGGTTTTCCCTTGCTTTGTTGGCTTTTGGGTTTTTCTTTTTTTACAGTGCAGGTTGAGAAAGGTCAGCAGAGCTGGCTGGGTAGCACTGCCATGAATGAAGAATGAGAAGTCTGCCAGAGGCAATGACATTCACCACCTCCCATTCCTCCTGCCCTTTAGCAAGCAGTGTCTCACAGCGAGGTGACCCAGCCAGAAGCCCTGTGTGGACAAAGGCTGTGGCTCTAACCAGCTCCCAGGGAAAGCTGCTGCCCTGTCAGTCCCCTCCTACCCGACATTACCCCATCCAGTTCCCCCATCACTGACGAGATAAGCATTACTCTAGTTGTTTTTCCACATGCCCCCCTGGAGACTTTGATCCTCGGGTCAGTGGTGGGGTCAGGAGCCCTTGTAAGTGGCAGAGGTCCTTCAGTCTGCTGGACAAGGTTTTGGGCAGGAAGGAGGGGGTGGGAGCGGGCCAGGGGGTTGAGCCAGCCCGTCGCATCTCCTGGAGGCACTGCAGCCCCCCTGCTGCTCACTCCCCAGGAGCCACAGAGGCAATAAAAAATTCACCATGCCTTATGGCCAAGGGTCAGTTTAAGAGCCTGGCAGCCCATGTGGTGCATACCTGGAGGTACTCCTTGTTGCTGTCCACGTTGGGGGTCCAGCCGTTGTCGTCGCTGTTGAGCCGGCTCTGCTGAGGGGTCCATCGCCCGTCCGAGTAGGTTGAGGAGGCACTGATCTGCATGTTGGAGATCCTGCCAGACTCCATCCCCAGGGGCACGTTGCACTGGAAGTCTGGAGGGGACACACACACACAGAGCAGCTTACGGCCTCTGTAGGTGACTCCCAGGTGGAAGGCAGCCCTGACCCATCCTCCCCCAGCTAGCCCCCAGCAAAGCCACCTGCCCGGAAAGATGACCAGATCTGCAGCATCCTGCAGGTTGTGTGCGTTCACAGATGGCACTGGGAAACCAAAGATGGGCCAGCTTTATGTTTGCATGGCCCTCTGACAACGAATAAATCTCCACCTCCTTCACCTTCACACAGTTTTGCCAATTCTTTCCCTTCCCTCCCTCCATCTCCAGTAAGATATCCCAAGTCCCCTTGCCACAAAGTCCTGCAACTTCTTGAAGGCTGGAGGTGAAATCTAAGCTCTGACAAGGCAAGCAGTATGAGCAGGCACAACGGGAGGGTGCTTGCTGCTGTGCTGCTGGCAGGAACATCAAGGCCTGGAATGGCTTTGAGTGGATGTGAGAGTATGGAAGCACGTGTGGATGTGCCTGCCTATATGTGCATGTGCTATATGTGATATCAGGCCCACAGGAATTACTCAGCCAAGAACATGAAAGACTCTAGTACGCTTTCATTTGGGTTTCCTCACTTCTAAAGCTTTCAAAATCACCATCAGCTCAATCTTATTGCACATCTCATATTTTATGGCAACTCTCCTGTAAAAACAAGAGCAAAGGAAATGCTGGTAGGATATACTGCATGGGCTCCAGTGGGCCACTGCTGTAAAGCAGCAGGGCTCCACCAAACTGGCTGGGTTTTTAACGTGGCCAAGTCAACCCCGGGGGGTAAATGATGGGCCAAGTTGAGATCTCAGTGGCATTATTAAAGTTTCCATTCACACCAGCACAAATCAAAACAGCCTCTTGTGTTGCTCTTGTGCTCCATTTCTCAAGCTTTGTGTATCATTAATAGGATTGGGAAATAAAATGTTAAAGAACAGAATGGGAAGAGGGTTAAAGAACAGATCAAGTGAGTGTGGAGACAGGCAATGGTGAAGAGCTCATGCTTGTCTGTAACTCTCACAGCCTCAGCAGAACATCCCTAACTCAAACACAGAGCAAGTGCCAGCAACCCAGCTGCCCTAGTGCTGCACAACCCCTGCACCACCCTGTTCTCCATCATGGGCTTTCAGCGTTGGGTCAAGGACCCCCTCTCTTTCTCTGGGACTGAGGGGTGTCCTGAAGGCTTCTTCTATTCTGTTCTGTCACAGGTTCACTGTGAACAGGGGTCAAACTGTAGCTCATGTAAAAACACCATGGGAAAACAAACTGAATCCTTCCTCGCCTGCAGGCATTATCAGAAAGTGTTATCAAAAGAATCAAAATGCTCTTCATTCTCAAAACACACAACTTTCCTCCTCACTCCACATCAATTTACCTCCCTTAATAGGGATCTAAAACAAATTTTGGTTTGATATTCTTAGGGCTTTAGGCATTTTTTAATTAGACAGCCACAAAATTCCAATTTGTAGTTTGGGGCCGTGACTTTTTGGAAAAGCAGAGAAAGGGAGAGAGTATTTTCCCCTGTGCCTTAATGAATCTGCTGTACCTGCTGGGCTGAAGTCTGCCCCCCAAATCCTTTGGGCTGAACACAGACACGAAGAATTCTATCCCAAAAGGTATTAAGAAGACTTGGTGAACAAGTGAAAAGTCAAAGAAAGGTCAGAAAGTGTGATTCTTACTGAAATCTCACTTCTAGGAGAAACAGAGAACACACCTCGTGTAACTGCTGTCTGCAGTGCTGGTGGGGGACCAGCCCCTGGACACCCCCCTGTGCCAAGGGAAAGACTTGGGAAATACAGGTGACACGACTGCCTACATCACATGCACGTGTTCCCAACTTACTTTCTGGGACTTCCTGCTGGATCAAGTAGTACTTGGCAGAGAAACCATCTTTAGCCACGGCCAGGTCCGTGTGGAAGGTGAGCGAGAGGACGCCGGTGGTCGAGCGGATGTCTGAAGGCATCTTGGTGCCACAGTATCTGCCTATCAAGGGGCCAACTGCAAAAGAAAGAGCAGCAGAGGTAACGTCTGCTCTTCCACCACCCTCCTGGGCGACCACCAGGTTGGCCCCAGCACTGCATGAACCCACGGAGTTCACGGAGCCACGGCTGAGGTCAGGCCCCTCTGGTGTTCAGGCACAGACTGTGCAGTTCTGGAGCCCTGTGAGACACCCAGGCCAGCAGCACAGCACTGAGCTGTCTTACCCTGAGGGATGCCGTCCCAGATGTCCAGCCAGTCATACTTGCAGTCTCCTTCTCCTGCCTGCAGTGGGTCGTGCTCAAGGTCGAAGAGCAGAAAGTGGAGGAGGATTTCTGTCTTTGGTTTGGCAATGATGGTGAAGATGCAGTCCAGGTTGTGGGGATACTTGTCAGGGAAACCTGGAGACTCAATAGTGCCGTTGGAGGCAGTGAAGTTTCTGGAGCAGTCCTCGGAGCCTGGAGTGGCAGGAAAAAAACCCACAGCCTTAGCAACAATGGGGCTTAATGCCAACGGCTCCACACTGTGGAAATCCCATTTTGAGCTTACTGGGGTTGTGTATTCACTTCTGGAGATGTAACCCAAGAGCTCCCTGAATTCCTGCAAGGACGGGGAGGGTGATTTTCAAAGCTTTCTGCAGGTGGAGAGACAAGGTCTGTGTGTTCACTGGTGTGGACAGCATGGTTCCAAATCTCTCAGAGAGCTCTGCAAACACAACCTGTACCACTGGTGATCCTGCTGCAAATTACTTTGAAAACATGATCAGGAGGGTGATCCTACCCAAAGCCACAGCTGCGATTTGGCAGGTGAGCACCCTGCCACGTCCACCAAACCAATGGTGGTGGCCCTGGTCAAATGGAGGCCACCAGCCACACTGGCAAAGGGCTGGAGCAGCTCTAGGTCTGACGGAGGAGCCCCTGTGTTTGGGGAGGGGGCTGCCTGGAAGGGGGTAGAGAGGAGTAACAGGGATGTCACCTCTTTGGAAAAGCTGTGCCCAGGGACTGGTCTCCTGCAATCTCTACTCCTTCACCATGGACATCTGTGCCTCAGTGTCCTCTCGAGAAAAATCAGGAAGCACAAATGTTTACACAGTGAAAGGGCCTGGGGGGAGTGTGCTGATGTCTCCACTGTTAGCTGGAAGCCCCCAGTCAGCCTGTGAACCCCTGAGCCCCACACAAGGGATGAGGGCCAGCTCCAGCATACGTCCCCATAACGTGGCCACAGCAAGAGCGGGGTGACAGGGGCTGTGGCAGGGGAGGAACAGAGCCCTCTTTCTCCCAGGCCGAGCTGTCTGCCCCAGAAATGCAAGTTATTTCTACCCTTAAAGAAGACCTTTGCGTGGTGAGGAGGACAGACAATGTTGCCTCTTACTTCTTGCTGACCTCAGCACTGGCCTCCGGCTGCAGCCGGGCCAGCTCGGTGCCCCTCTCACACAGTCAAGGTGCCTCGGGGTGGCCAGGGAAAGGGGAATTTGTGTCATATTCATACCATGGTGACTTTGAAACCGCTGTGCTGTGGAGACAGGACAATAGGCAACAGAAATCTGCAGCCTGGAGCTACCCGAGGCGAAAGGGGATGTCAGAAAGGCTGCCAGCCGCTGCTGCAACCCGGCGTTGGCATGCACAGAGGTTTCTACTTCAGTTTTACTGGGACACTCTCCTTCTCCTCTAGCAACCCTTCTGCTCCAGCTTTTCCAGGCAGCACGAGCCTTCCCAGGACTAATGGGAGACTTGTTATTCAATTCAGCATTAACCTACAGGAGTCAGGCCAGCCGCCCGCAGTAATAGCAGGATCCCCACGCTGCATTATGCAGTGCCTAGCTGGAGAGCTGCTTGGGAGAGACTCTTAATTGACTACCTAATGAAGCAGCCAGCTCTTCTGGGGTGAACCTGTGGGGTAGAACACAGAGGCAAAAAAAATAAGGCCAAGCACAAATCACAGCGTAACGCCGTGAAGAGGGACGAGGGTGCACTTGGTTCTGGAAAGCCTGAAAAACAAATAAATAGGGCAAAGAACACGAGCTCCAAGCTAGGGAGAAATATCAAAGACTAAAACCAGAGTCGGGGACTGTCCTCTAGAGACTGGAGAGACTCGTAAGTGTGTCACTGCATTAGACAACAGCAGTTTTCTCATCTGGGGCTCTTACTGCGTTTAGCATCTTTGTGGAGGGGTTTGGCTGCTGGCAGCAAACACAGCCATCAGCTTTAACTGAGGAAGCTGCAGATAATCAAGGGGAGTCACGCTGGCTTCGGCAGCACCGGCCAGCCCGGGAGGAGACTTTGATGCCCAGGGCTGGAAGCTCAGGCCAGCCCTGCCGAACTGACTCACAGAGGGAGCAGCAGGGAGGCTGGACCAGCCAGGGCAGGCGGCTCTTTTGTCAGCCCGGGGACCGCTGGCTGATACCCATCAGGGGACTCAAAGACTGGTATGCAGTTGTTTGTATGCAGATTGCTCCTCTCTCACACCCAGATAAGGGGAATTTAGCACGAGGTGTGGATATAAATGCCGAGTTGAAAAGAGTTATTTTTTCAGGTCACCTTTAAGAAAGAAAGGAGCTGCAGCCACGCTGTCTTTACTGATGTGGACAATGACAATCGGATGACCTTTAAAGCTGGTGACACCCTGACAGCTCAGATGGAAACTGTGCCCCTGCCTGCTTGCAAACAAAAGGCAGGGTCTGTTTGCACTGCAGCTCCCCACAGCTCCCCACTGCCCTCCTCCCAGGGGGATGAGACGGGCTGGGGGTGCTCCCCAATCACAGCGTCATCCAGGCTCCCGTGCCAAAACCTGCCTCGCCAGGCTGGATTTTGGGGGTGTGACTGGAGGAAAGGATGGCTATTTCTGGAGCAACGGCTGCCTGTGGGGGAGGGCGATGGTGAAAGGAGCCCCAGCGCTACCTCAGACCTACATGGAGGGACAGAAACTTATCTACAGCTTCCCTCCAACATCCACTCTCCCCCAGACCAGACCTTGCCTCCTCTCCCTCCCTATCACCAGCAACAAAATCTCCCTTTGCCATGAATTCGGCCCCTTGATGGCTCTCACCCAGGTAGACAGGGTTCCTGCCTGCCATGCCCTCCCACAGCCACACTCGGCCTGGGCACCTCAGCCAGCTGGCCCACTCCACACTGCCCAGTGCCCTGACCCATGGTGTGGACCCACTGTGAGGTCAGGCACAACCCAGCACGGTCTGCTGGGCTCTGAGGGGATGTGTGCAGGCAGTGAGAGGCAAGGGAGGTTGGGGTGGGTTGGCACTCTTCCCACCCAAACACAGACATTCTTTGCCATCCTCCATACTGGCAACTGGCCTCAGTAAACCTCAACAGCCAGATGAACCACTAAATTCTCTCAGGACTAACCTGCATCCTAACCATCAGCAGGCAGCCATGGTGAGCTGGATGCACCACGACAGCTCAGTGGCCAGTTACACAGCCCAAGCAACCACCAGCAACAACACTCCCCTCATCCACCTGAACCTCCAGACACCTCCTATCCTCACTATTTCACAATGAATTTGGGGAGTCCCATTCCTGTCCTCTTGCAGCAGAGTCTCTGCATTCACATCTGTCTGTAGCAGGGTTGTGGGTCGCCTGTGCCCCTCTGCCTGCTGCACAGCTGGACCAGGGACCTCAGACATGGGTGCCTGTGCTCCCTGCCCTCCCCCTGAAGAGGCTGGGTGAGTGACCCTGCTGTGCTCTCTTCTAGTTCTTCAGCAAGCGAGGGCATATTTTTGTGCTGGATGCAATGATGTGAGACCGGTGTGTGTATTTTGTTCCAATGCACCACTGAAGGAATGTGGGCACAGGGCAGGTGCCCGTGTCCCTGGGCAAAACCCACTCTTGCTCCCTTGGTGCACAGGCAAACCTCTGTCACCTGCACACACCGAGTGGGCTTTGTTTTCTCAAGCACCCTTCTTCCCAGACACACACTTCTAGCAAATTTCAGACAGGAACGCTAGTAACGGGTCTTTATGCAGCTTTTTCTTTCCTCAATAACAGTTTAGTATGAAACAGAATTATGAATAGTTCCTCTTCTATCTGCCTGGAAAGGCTCTGCCTCAGCTGTGCCAGCACTGCTGACTGCAGTTCCTCGAAAACCAGAGCTCCCCAGTTACAAAACCCACTTCCAGACAGAGGAAACACAGCGTCATTGATCCACCCTGAATGGCAACTCGCAGGAGGGGGAGCTCCACACACTTCCAAGGCAGGGACAAGCCTCTCTTACCCTATTAAGCTCCACATGTGCCAGGGGGAAAAGATGTATGTTTCTAGTCCTTGAATACAAGAGGGCATATAAAGAGGAACCCTGGTTTTACTGCCACGCTGTGACCCAAAATGCACCACCACGCACCACGGGCGTATTCACCTTCTTGGAGATGACATGCAACAGACTGGCTTAAATTAAAAAAAACAAAAAGCCCTTTATCTCTGGAGAACATGCTGCAAAAGTGGCCCAAGACATCTCCTGGTGAAGTTCCTCGTGGCACACAGCCTGGGAGAGGGGAGCTGACTCAGACACTCACCTGTCTTGTAGATCTCGTAGCGCAGGGAGAAGCCGGCCCCTTGCCGCGCGTAGTCGGAGGTGAACTTGATGTAGAGAGAGGGGCCCGAGGAGATGATGGTGGGAGGTGCTATGTTCCCACAGTGCTTGCCCAGCAGGTCTGCTGCCTCGCTGTCCCCGTCCCGGATCTCGATGTAGTCGTACCTGTGAGGAGGGTGAAATGGCACCAAAGCCATCTGTCGGGGAGCTGCCTCGAGATGCCAGGAAGGGACACACAAAACACTGCCTTGTGGCTGCATGCTTTGCAGAACATCTTCCAGAGAGGCACCTGGGACTCTGTCACTCATGCCACACCACATACCTCTCAATATGGGGTTTTTTTCCCTTTTGTGTCTCTGGCTACATTTAAGTCCCTTCCACTGTTGCTCCTCACATCATTAATTTATTGCTCTCACATCCACTTCGACTGCAGAGTCAACATGCAATATTTAGGACACAATTTACCTCCATTTCCACAAGCCGCCTCCTGCACGAGACACACTCAGAGACAACTCTCCTGGGGCTGCTCTCTTTCCCCCACTTCTCTCCTTAAAGTGCCATTGTGCTGCTTGGCACAGCCCAGTTTATTCCCCTGTTCAGGTGGGGTCTGCCCAAACACACACCAAGCACTGAACAAAGAGTCAACGTTCAATCCCTTTGAGCAGGTAGCTACTTCGTGCACTGTTTGACACCAACATGGTCCTTTAATAAGCATGGCCAGCACACTTAGCACTTGGACAGTAGCACTGACCCTCTTCTCTTAAGGGCTAACAAAGATTTCCTGTGGAGGAGAAGTGCTGCCTGAGAGCTGGGTAACCCCAGCCTCTAAACCTGATCCTTGTCCTCCCTGTAACCACCACTTGCCTTTGCAAAGCCCTATGTGGAGATGTCCCAGTGGCCTGGCTCCTGGGCACCTGAATGGTCTGGGGAAGGAACATGCAGGCTTGGAAGAATTGCTGCAGAGGCAAAAGCTTGTTGCAAAGCTGGGAGGTAAAACTCCCCCAGATTCCTTCCTATTTTCTAGGCCATGACTAATGGCAAGGTAGAATCAGCCTCTGAGTGCTGTGAAGAAACAAACAGCTTTTACGTGAACATCTTGTTCTTCAGTTGCTTTCTAACACCCACGCTCCCTTGTCCCTCCTCTCCTCTCTGGCCAGCACGCTGCTATTTACAGACACTGCCCATCTCCTCCACTCTTCATTCCCCTTGTAACAACCTGTTTGAGCAACATGCTACAGCTTTTCCCATGGGGCCAGGGGGGAAAGAGCATTTCCAGGCTGCCTTTCTTCTTTGTCACAAGATCTCCTGTTTGGGAAGGGAGAGTTGAAAGGGGAAGTAGCTTGCTGGATACAGAATGATCCTCATGTGACTCATTCCTGTTCTGCAAAGCACACATCGGCAGGCAACGACCACAAAACAAACTCGCAGGGACTCGGTGTGCTCTTCCACTAAGAAAGATGGCCTGGACAGCTTTGGTTTCACTCCTTTCTGGGACTAAATCAGGCTGAGAGCCAGGAGCAAAATACCTGCAGATAAAATCCTGTCTATGCCAGAGCAAGCACTCAGCTAGCTGCAATCACCCAGCCTTTAACAGCATTACAGACTCAATTGGCTTGGCCAAGGTGAAATCCAAGCGGTCTTGAGAAGAGGCACTTGCACAGGAAGAGCATTTGCCTCAGCTGGTGGACACAGAGCAATATAAATGAAGATCTGTTCCCTTTGCTCTGTTCCTTCCTCAGTTCTGTTCAGCTCTCCATCACCTCCTGACCCCTTTTTACCCTGACACTGCCCAGCAGCACCCTGCGTGACCCCACTAATGTCCATCATGTGTGGCACGATCCCACCACCTCCCCAGGAAGGACTAACATAAAAGAAGCACAACCACTGCCCTCTAAGTAGAATTTTTTTCTTCCCTTGTTTGTCTATTTGTTTAAAGTAGTGCTGAGCAAACAGCAGGGACATTTTGTTCTCTAAATAACTACTTGATTTCAGTGTGTTTGCAGTCCTTTCATATCTGAACCACACATCTGTGTCGCAGAACCACTGGCTACTACTGAAATGGGGAATATGTGGCAAAAAAATCAATTTGGCAAAACCATGGATGTTGGCAAAACAGAGCTCACAGAGGGGATTGTAAAAGCTGTCGTTTGCAGGGCACGGGCAGAGGTCAGCTGCATCCCAGGGCATCACATCTCTGTGTCCCTGGGGGGTTATAACTCACCAACACCACACACAGTTCCCAGTAAGGGTCACAGCTCCTGCTGCAGCCAACACCCCAACCATCCCAGCCCTGCCCACATAGCTCCTCAAACCACCCAGTGCTGCAGGAGCCCTGGCAGTTTCAGAAGGAAATTTTGGACCAAAAAATATTTGCTTATAGAATGGGTGAATAACTTCCACTAACACAGACAATTTGGGAATACTGCAATCTGCTGGTGGGCAATCTGCAAATGGAAAATTGAAAGAATGGATCTAGGAAGTAAATCATCAGGAAATATTTGCCTCTCTGAATTAAACCCTGTTTGGCTTCGTCCAAGCATCTAGCTGAGCTTTCTCCTACTGGAGCTAATCCTTAATAAATCAAATGTTACAAACAACTAAAAAAAGCCCCTAGGAGAAGGTCAGGGAATCATTTTTTGCCAAATGTAAAATGAATATAAACACATACAAGTTTTCTTCCCGAGCTCAAAAATTTTGGCCCAAGCCACGTCCTTGTGTCTCATGAAGCAAAATTCTCTTTCTTCAGGTTATATAAACAGAGTGTGAGTTGGAAGAATATTACACTTGGGAGTTAACTCCTGCTGAGGAGCAGGAGCACCTACTTCCTCTCCAACACAGCAGTTAAGCTTTAGACTTTCAAAATGAAACACCAAAGACGCCTGATCCAACCCGTGAAGCATTCAAACTTCAGCAAGAACCACCACAGACTCTTCTGGCATCAGGGACACCATGTTCATGTCTTGGCCCTCAATCAAACAAGCTGATAAACTCCATCCTCCTCACGCTGGATCACTGGTCACATTAAAAATCTAGTTTGGCCAGACCTTTGCTTCTGTTCAGCTTCAGCATGGCTTCCAGACTTTTTTCTTCCCGTGTGAAAAACAAGGAGAAAAATTGGAAGGAAGAAAACCCAACCCTGGAGGTGCTTTCTACTCTAACCATTTCATTTCCAGCTGACTCCGGAGTAGGGCAGAGCTGGGTGGGACACATTTACACAGCAATGGCATCCAGACTGTCTTGACCAGTGCCCAGCAATTTCCATTTCACTCATAGAATAAAATCCATTGTTTCAGTCAATGTGCACCAACATCCTTGTGGGCTGACCTCTCCATGGCTCAAGCTGCCATCTCCAAGCACATCTCATGACCACTTCTCCCCATCTAGGCATTGCTCCAAGGAGCCAACCAGAAATATCTGAGGGTGGGGTACAGCATCTGTAACCCACAAGTCTAGTCAATGGATTAACCAGCTCCTCTTGCAGGGGAGGTGACCACATTTGGCTGCTCCTCCAGCAGCAGGATATTTTCAGCTGCTGCTTGCACTGCAAGGCCAGCCAGTTGGTTTGAAACTGCCTCAAGCAGAGGTTTCTGCTAGGGAGTTTGAAGTCAGGGAGGCAAAGCTCAAGTGCTTTTAACTGCCCAGACAATGAGGGGTTGAGAAAAGAGGTTTTGCTTAGATGCTCTTCTTGGAGCTGTTTAACAGAACTAAATGGAAAACATACAATGCTTACAAATATTGCTGTGTTTTTATTAAAGATTTTTAGTAGAAAGTGCTTTGCTGATCTGAAGAGAGCTTTTATAAACTAATTATAAAGCACTTCTAATGCCTGCATTACTCATGCTTGCTTGCTTGCTTTTTCCTCCAGTCAACCCTCTCTGTTTCCCAGTCTTTCCTTTCTCTCTCTCCTCCCTGTCACTTTGCTGCTGGCTCTCCAAATAAGTCTGCAAGACACAATAAAGGCATCAAGCCCAAACTGCAGTGATTATGAGAAGACCTCCACCTTTTCATTGCTTTGCTGTTGGAAATGGCTCATCTGCTTCCTGAGCTATGCTCCACTGCCTCCTGAGGCAAGCACAGCCCTCCCAGGTGCCCACCCAGGTACTGGTGAGCTCCAGAAGGGCTATGACCCACCTGGGAAGCAGCACTAGAAAGTCTGCATCATTCCTCAGGGTGCTTCTGGCCTGAGGCACACAGCTCAGCACAAAGCCCAGTTTTTGGACTCATACTGCTCCATATATAATCCACACACCTATTGTGCCTAAGCCCCAAGTCTTAGGAGACACTGAATCCTTCCCCACTGAACCATGCTTCAAGGGCATTACAGGAACATGAGCTTAGGATGGAGAGAAACAAGCCCAATAAATCATTTATATGTTCACAGCCATAACATGAGTCCTCCCAACAGGTAAACCTGTGCAAGCCTGGCTTCAAAGCTCGAGGAGGGCTGGTTCCCCTGTTTCTTAGCAATGAAACAGCATCTGGTGTATAGAGGTGGTTCAGAAATGGTGAAGCAGCAGCTCTGTGCTTGTTTTGCAGTCGAGGGGTGGCTAGAGTTAATGTCCATTACATGCTGGCTGGCTCAGTCCATTTTTCTGTATCACTGCCCATCTTCATGCTCCTTCGTACGCCACCTTGAAACCAAATACTTATTTCATGGGTGGTTATGTTGTGAAAGACAAGAAAACTTTTCTGTGATGTTTATACAATCTCGAGCGACTGCAGGACATACCCTTCAAATGGTAAACTGCTGCAGAGGCTACTGGGGACTTTTAAATTATTTTTCTTTTTATGAGCATAATAGCAAAGGCAAGCACCACTGCTGTCTGATGAAACGAGAGCAATGAAGTTTGATCTTAGCTGCCAGCCCTTAATCAGAGTAATTAATTATAAATACAGTAGATGAATTGGATTCTCCTTTGACTTGAACTGGTTTTACACATGTGTAACTCATCATTTTAAGGGTAATCACTCCTAATTTATCCTGGCATGAGAAGAGAACCGGTCCTCACAGACAGAGATCCTGATACAGACTTGTGCACACACCTAAAAAGCTTGTATCATATCCAGCTTTAGCCAACTAAGCATCCTCTGCTCTCAGCTGACTCAGACTCCACACACCCACCTTGGGATAGGATTAATTGTTCTTCTTCACTGACACCAGAGGC